TGGCAGTCCATGGCACTTTCAATATTTTTCGCCAACACAATTCAAAGGCATCAACTCTTCTTTGGTCTTCCTTATTCATTGCCCAGCTTTCACATGTGTATAAAGCAATTGAAAATACCATGGCTTGGATTAGGTACACCTTAGTCTTCAGAGTGACATCTTTGCTCTTCAACACTTTCAAGAGGTGTTTTGCAGCAAATTTGCCCAGTGCAATATGATGTCTGATTTCTTGACTACTGATTCCATGGGTGTTGATTGTGGATCCAACTGAAAATAAATCTTTTGACAACTTCATCCTTTTCTCCATTTATCATGATGTTGCTTATTGGTCCAGTTGTAAGTATTTTTGTTTTCTTTATGTTAAGCGGTTATCCATACTGAGAACTGTAGTCTCTGATCTTCACCAGTAAGCGCTTCAAGTCAGCCAGCAAGATTGTGTTATCTGCATATCAGAGGTTGTTAATGAATCTTTTTCTAATCCTGATGCCACGTTTCTCTTCATATAGTCCAGCTTTGTGGATTATTTGCTCAGCATACAGATTGAATAAGTATGGTGAAAGGATACAGCCCTGTTCTGGAATTCCCATTCTTCGCATTGTTGTTGATAATTTGTTATGATCCACACAGTTGAATGCCTTTGTATAGTCAATGAAACACAGGTAAACATCTTTGTGGTATTATTTGCTTTCAGCTAAGATCCATCTGATGTCAGTAATGAGATGATAGTAAATTATGAATATGTATTTATGTAGTCATGACTCAAAGAGTTAGAATTATGTTTAAATTCACCTGCTCATTACAGAACAAGTACATTGTGACAGGCACATGAGTATATATACATGAGCACATTAATATCTTTTGTACATATAGCATTTTTATTTGTATGGTTAATTGTGAAGGTTTTAGAAAACATTTAAGTTAATTATCTGTATTCTGTGTATTTTGTTGATATAAAAAAATACGGTTTTTTATTCTACAGAAGCAAGAGTTGATACCAAGACTTTAAAGTAAAACCTGTTTCTTTTGCCTTTGGGAAGAATTATCTTTCTGGCTTAAGATTTTTAGAAAGGATTCTCTGTGGAGGAATTTGAAGCAGTCTAAAATTTTAATAAAATTTTTAAAAAAAGTTTTGGCTCATGAT